CATGTAACACATTATGTCTCTTTGTCCTCGGGATAAATTACCAACTGAAAATGGCCTAAATTGCTTATGTAATTAAACCCAACAATTACTTTGCATTAAGAAAGCAGAGTGATTTCATTTTAAATAGTAAATAGACTTAAAATGACCACTGGGGTTTGAAAGGGCTCTAGCTGATAAAAGTAACTGGAAGTTACAGCCTAATTTTGTTCCCCATAATCTTATTCAAAAACAGTGTTTAAGTGGACATTTTTAAGGAAAATAATTATAGAGAAAGAAGAGAAAAATTGAGGATAGACAGCAATTATCCTACATTAAAAAAAAAAAGAAAAGAAAAAATAATACCCTGCATAGTTAATGCATCTGTGATGAAATCACAATATTCTTTTTTGTTAAGATGAAGAGGGTTTTGTTACATATCTATGTAATCTTCTATAATAATAAAAGCACAGTATGCTAAATAGACCGGACGGCTGAACAACCTTCCAGATGACCTTCCGGATGAAGCTGGGGCTTCGAGGGCTGAGGCAAGCCACGGCTGCAAGGGTCAAGGCCCTTGCACTAATTTCATGCATTGGGCCTCTAGTAGATATATAATAAAAATATATCTATGAAATATATGTATACACATTTCACTGATTTTTAAAAAAGGTAAGGAAAAGTTATATTGACACAGTACAAAACATGCCAGTTTCAGTCGTACAGAAGCCTAAATAGGGAAAGCACTTGAATTTAAGTCAGAAAGCTGTACTGGTTCTAATACAAACTGCGTAATTCTGAACATAGACTTTGAGTGTTTATTTTTATCTTGCAAAATAAAAGTGATTATGTTAAGAGGATTTTAAGATATGAGTTTTCCAATGTCAATATTTTCTGATTCTAAAATACACCTATTCTTTGAGAATAAAAGAGAAATGGAGATTCAATAAAGACCTGTACTGGATGTTAAAATAAAAATAATTTTAACTATGTCCACGGGGAAAATATGCCATGATAAGAAAAACAGAAGAAACTCTAACCTAAACATGACAATTTTAATTTAAAGGGAATACTCTATTAATGAATTTGTTAACTGGGCATTAGCTGAGTAAGCTGTTTCACTTTTGGTTAACATAGTTACTGATCAAAGGATTTTGACTATGGTTGCTAAGGGACAAGGGAAAATGAACTTCTAGAGAAATACAGCAGTTCTAGGACAGAACTAAGTAGAATCCTGTTGAATCAGCAGTGACTGTAAGGCCATCACTATGACAAAATCTTATCTATAGAGAAATAATACTTACATTGGTAAATAGAAAAATAACTGATAGAGAATACAGTCATTGGCATTTGGAGCTTAAAGATCCACAGAAATGGTAATGATCGCAGTGGAGGTAATCTAAATAAACACTTCTTAGGTTGGGCATTTGATCCAATAACTTTACTTTCATTATCCCAATTAATCCTCAAGCTGACACTACTATTACAGCCATCTAACGGAGGGAAGAGATGAGGCTTCACTTAAGTAATTTGCTCAGCTAGTAAGTGTCAAAGCCATCATTTGAACCTGGGCTATCTGACTTCACCCTATACTGAATCTCCATTTAGTGGTTATTTTGTGATTTGATCTCTAAATATTTTATGTATTCTCATACCTTGCTACCGTAATTACAACCACCATTTAGGTGAAAGTTTAATTTTTCTTTATAATTAGCATCTGCTTTCTATTATTTTTATGTTTTTAATGTACATAATTTTGAATGGAATGATACTTCTCAATAGTTGTTATTCAATCACCTAGGATTTATGAAATCAAACAGAATAATGAGAATATATTTTTAAATAGTTTTTTAAAATTTACTTATGAACTGCCAGAGTAAAGATTAACAATCTTAGAATAAAATATAGCAAAAAAATTAAATTGGGAAGTAAATCAAACGTGTTTTTCCATTAACACACGATTGGGAAAATATACTTGCGTATTTGGTATTCCGAATAAGTCAATTATCAGCATACGGAATAGAGAGTGATAAAAGTTTTTCATAAAATGTTCAAGGGAAGGGAAAGTGCAAAGAACTAGTGTGTTTTTGTGTTTTGTTTTTTTTTAAAGAGCAACTGCAGTGAATTGAGTTATGAAACTAATAATAACATTCAATTGTGACTTTATTTCTTCACAAATATTCCTTTATTTCTCCTAACCTTCAAATAAAAGAAAAAGTAGGATGGAAAATAATTTTTGTATACATACACACAAGTGTTTGCAGAAAGTGGTCATTAAGGGGGAAATGAATGAGCCATGAGAAAAATGAATACTTACAGGTTAAATCTAGCCAGACATTATAATCCATCACTGATCCCTGAAGGGCACTAATAATATGTAAATGTGAGAATGAGAAAACATTCAAGGCTGTTGATAAACTTGATAGGATAATCAGCAGATGCTGACAGACTAATGAAACCGATGAACTGATAAGGCAGTTTATCTCCGGGGCCATTTTTTTTCTTGTCAAATGGAGGCTAATCAAAATGTATTAAGAGTTAAAGCAAACACTCACAGGATTTCACCCATTTGATTAGGAGGTGAACTCACTCTCTGAGAAAATTATAGTTTCATAAACAGTTGAAACTACAAGCCTGGTCAGATAACAGACCTTCTCCCATAACTGAACAGAAGGCAACCACAATGATTAGGGGAGCAATCTGCAATTTTAAATTAATTGGGATTCTCCCCTCGAAAATGGTTAGAGTGCTTTTCAGAGTCTGGGCAAAGCTACTGCCTCTTTCTATAATGGAAAATAAGACGAAGGACTAAGCAATAACCCCAGGGACTAACTTATCTCCCACTGCCTGTGTGTGCTCAATATTTGCTTAACCATATGAGAAACAGATCCCAAGGTACCAGCTGAGTTTTCAATCAAATTATTAACATAAAATAATTGAATGAATTTTCTGAAATCACTAACTATAGTGAATGCCACACTTCCTATTAACAATCAAGATACCAAATGCAGTCTGTTGCCAAGGATCTCAGAGTCCTTTCCCAGTTTAAAGAAAGACATCTTATTTCATAATTGAGGGAAATTGGAAGTAATGGCCTTCCCAAGCATTAGCAATAAGAATAAACTATAAACTAAAATCATTGTGCCTCTTTAGACAAAACTAGAAAAATGATCCTTTTAGTATTCACTTTGACAGAAATAACCATCCAGTATTAATATTTAAAAGTTAATTCTGATAAATCTAAACCCGCTAAGCACACATTTCCTGAACATGTACATTTCATCTGAATAGATAGACTGATGGTAAAATGCTGGATAGTATAAGGCACTGTTTTAAATTATAAGAGTTTAAGGGCAAAAGTACATTTAATGAAGGTAAACTTAGCTTTTAATAATCATAGCAAAGAGAAAAAGAAGCAACAACTAGAAATACCCCAATGTCCTTTTTAATATGAGCATTAAATCATTCCATGCTGCACAGGCAACTGGGGCAGGGGTCCCAGAGACATAGGATGAATATATTAACCTCTTCCAAATCATAATTTTTTTTTTCTGTTATTGACCTGTGCCTCATTCTGTCTCTAAACTATTTCTTAAATTTCTGTCATTTAGAAAAAAGGGAAAGTGTGTGTCCTTGTCAGGTGTGTGTGTACATGTATGTGTGTGTGTGTGTGTGTATATAACATAATTTTTTTAGAGAGAGGAAAGGAGAGGGCAAGAGAGACAGAAACATCAATGACAGAGAATCACTGGTCAGCTTCCTCCTGCATGCCCCCTACTGGGGATTGAGCCTGCCACCCGGTCATGTGCCCTAACCAGGAATCTAACCAAAACCTCCTGGTCTATAGGTCGATGCTAAACTACTGAACCACACTGGCCAGGCCAGGCATATATTCTATAGTTTGGGAGGATTTAAGATATTTTTTAATGTGTGTGTGCTCAAGCCATACAAACTAGTATCAAATCTCTCAAATAATAGAATACAAAAGCATAAATAATCCTAGAGACCATGTTGTCTCATTACTTTTATATGCACGAGGAAAGCCTAGAAATAGTAAGCAACTTAACCAGTTTAGTAAAAAGAAAAATCTGAGTTTGCAATTTGTGCTCTGGAAATTATATATTATACACTTTTTAAAGTCATATATATGTATATATATATATATATTTGATTTGAGGACAAAAGCAAGCCCTTCTCTTCCCTCCCTTACCTGGAAACAGCAAACCAATCAGCAGAGCACCCTAAACTTCGGGGACCTTTCCAAGAGTCACATGCTGAATGGGCAGTTTCCATCCACCATCAAATAGCTGTGTTGACAACTTACAGTCACAAATCAATTGTAAGTGATAGATATTTTATTAGAAATTCTAATTCTTGAGCTCTTGCACTTAGAAAAATCAATGCCCTAACCTGCATGCTTTCTAATAAGAAAATTAAGGTAATTACCCAATGAAGAAAAAGGGGCAATTGTAGTAGCACATTTGCAGTTTTCACAGTATTGTTTTTACTCTAAAACACTAACTTAGAAAAAAAAGACCTTGAAGATCCAAGGCCTGATCAATGAAAACCATGCAAATTGACTCAGTTAATTTCATCTGTTACAAGCACCAAAATGCATTCATCTCTACATCTTAGCATGTTCACTTTTGAGGATCTTCTGATTAAGCAAGTAACATGATTAAAAAGTATCATGAATTTGATAACTTCACTAAAATCTGTGGACTTTATTCATCTTTTTCAATCTCCGGAGTCTAGCTAATACCCAAAAGGGCTTGTGAGCCCCTTACAACAACTCTGCGATCTGGACAATTTGCTGAGAATCAATATGAGAATGCACATATTTGCTCTTGTTTAGAAAAAGTATGCTATGTGAAAATTTGAATGTGACACCCAGTTGTGAATAAAGAGTTCTCTGGGTGAGGATCAATGCTATAACTTATTAGAATTCCATTTAACACAAGCACGGGTTTTAATTTCCCCACAGGTCCCTGAAATAGCAATTGAAATAGTAAGGTTTGACTTACCCATCATGTTGTACAAGCTCTGTGGAGCAAACTGCCTTGGCATTTTCTGAATTGCTTCTTTATATACACTAAGGGCTTCCTAATTTAAGAAACAAACCAAAAAAAAAAAGATGAAATATAAGAATATTCACCAAAAAAAAAAATAACAACATCCTTCCAAAATTAGAAAGTTCCATTGCTATTTCTAAATGGCTCATTGGGGGGGGTGGGGGGGGGAAATAATTCAGCTGTAGTTTGATGTCATACTACTACAATTTCATGAATAAAAATATTCGACCCAGTGAGTGAAGAAGGCGAGATAAAAATTTAGTGTAACAAGTAGCTGAATATTACCAAGCTCTTTTATTTTAATATAAAATTTCAGTTCACATAGATTATTCAATTAAAATGCTAGAAAAATTCATATTTGGAAATCACCCGTAGTCATCTATAATCTGTAATTAAAATCAGGCCACCAAGTAGGATCTAAATAAAATATAAAATAACAAACCCAAGATACTGAGACCCACTGAGATTATGAAATGTAATAATTTTAAAAGTTGTATCTCTATATTACATTATTGGTACAACAGGAAGGAGTATGTAGGGTGTGGTCTGAAAGAGGGGACGTGCAGTACTGAATGTGAGAGAAGATACCATGCAGGCATGCTTCCTGTGAGAGAAAGGGAGGACAAGACAGACAACCTCCCAGCTCTCTGTGCAAGGTCTCATCTCCATCACTTTTCTTCTCTCTCTCTCTCAAAAAAAACACAAACTAATTTTAATTTAATTCTTGTTTTAAAAACAATTAAAAGAAATGGGAAGGATTTGTATCATATTAATACTTAATACTCAGAGTACAATGTATTTTGTAACATCAAACATTGGAAATAAGGAGTCACAATATGTCTTGGATCATAAAATCAGAGATGATAAGCAAATAAGCTTGTGGAGCAATGGTTGTAATTTCCCCTTTTGGAAGAGTTGCTCTGAGAAATTAATAGTAAAGAAATCTGTTGCCATGGCCAGTGTTACTCTGTGGTTACAGTGTTGGCAAGTGAAGCATCTTGGGTTTGATTCCCAGTCAAGGGCATATACCTGGGTTGCAGGTTCCATCCCAGCCCCAGTAAGGGCATGTGAAGGAAGCAACCAATCAATGTGTCTCTCTTCAGTTGCAAGCTTGATCCACCAGTCTTGGTCAGGGCATGTGCAGGAGGCAACCAGTCATTGTGTCTCTCTCACATTGATGTTTCACTCTCTCTGCCCCTCCCTTAACCCCTTCCACTGTCTATAAAAATCAATGGAAAAAATATCCTTGGGTCAGGATTAACAACACAAAAAGAAATCTGGTAAGTATTCTTTTCTGTTTGTTTTGTTAATCCTCACCTAAGGATATTTTTTCCACTGATTCTTAGAGAGAATGGAAGGGAGGGGGAGAAACAGAGAAACCTTGACTTGAGAGAGACACATCGATTGGTTACCTCCAGGATGCACCCCTACCAGGACTGGGGATCGAGCCTGCAATGGAGGCAGGTGCCCTTGATTGGAATCGAACCCAGGACCCTTCAGTCCATAGGCTAACACTATCCACTGAGCCAAACCGACTAGGGCGGTAACTGTTCTTTAGCAGAGAGTTTTCCCCCCAGAAATGAATTTCACCTTGAAACTCTTTTAATAAAACACACATTAGCTCCTTAAATGCTCACAGTGCCCCTGTGATGAGATGGTAAGGTAGAAAGCACTGAGAAGGGACCAGACAAGGGGGAAGGAAAAGGGGAGAGAGGTCTGGGCCTGACCTCATAGTGTCCCTGCTCGTGGTAGAGCTTTCCCAGGTTGTAGAGACAGCTGGTCACCGAGCTCTTATGCGCGTGAGGGTCCTTTAGGTTTTCATCAGGGATCTCAGAACACTTCAGGAATGTACGTCGGGCTTCTTCGGTCTTTCCTTGGTTCATCAGAATAATACCGGTGTTTAAATACGCAGCTGAGAGAAAAACGTGGAAATATAAATGTAAGAAGATGATGTGCACTATGGATACAATAAGTTACCTTTACTTCAATTTACTTTCTATGGAGTATTTCTGATTTTTAGAAGAAACCAAGACACAAATACTTAGGGAACAAATACATATGGGAACAAATAATGTAGTAAGAAGTGTCGGTATCACTGAAAAATATCTGGAATAGTCTCTGTTCCCAAAAAGTTCAAAACATTCTGAACTTAAAATCTAGATGAATAAAAGTTGTATTTACCTGAACATATTAAGAAATGACAAACTGATATCAAAATATGGTTAAAATGAGAGATATAATTGTTAGAGGCTTATAATTTGATTGACAAGTTTTCAAAAATAGGAGCACATGCTTTTTTCTCTATGAGGTTGTAAGTCATCAAGATAATGTTCATGCATGAAGAGGAAAAGGAAAAGATATTTAAAAGAAAAACTTTATAAAAAGAAGAAGAAAAACTTTGACTGTTACTTACAAGCCAGTGTAGGCCTGCTCCCGATCGCCAGTTTATAATAATGTAGCGCTTCTGCAAACCTGCTGTTCTCCTGCAGGAGTAACCCTCTGCGTGAGGAAAAGAGAAATTTGGAGATAGGACCGTGTTACTGTACATAAAACCACAAATTTTTATTTTATGTTTTAAAATAAAAATGGTTAAGGGGCCATAAAAACGCTGACCTGGTACTATAAAAATAAACTCTAAATAAAAGGAAATTATTCCTCAGGAGAGAAAATATTGGAGAGGTATCAGTTGCATTTATGTTGCATCAGAAAGTATTAAGAAGTATTTTCAGCCCTAGCTGCTTTGGCTCAGTGGATGAAGTGTCGGCCTGCGGACTGAAGCGTCCCAGGTTTGATTCCGGCCAACGGCACATGTCTGGGTTGCAGGCTCGGTCTCCAGTAGGGGGCGTGCAGGAGGCAGCCGATCAATGATTCTCTCTCATCATTGATGTTTCTATCTCTCTATCCCCCTCCCTTCCTCTCTAAAATCAATAAAAAAAAATTTTTTTTAAAAGAAATATTTTCAAAAAGCCCTTTATCCTCATTGAACTTTCCTCTTTCCCAGTCTTCTCTCTCCCACTGGACAGAAAAAACACCTAAATTTCTTCCTGGAGCATGCACATTTTTTCATCACCTCAGAAAAGAAACCTGTCTAAATTAAATACATAAATATGCATATGTGGTTATATGTGTATTTATTTAAGCATGAAACGCCTCTCTCACTAGTCATATTGTTTGGGAAATACTGGTCCATGGCTGCCCGAAAGACAAAGTGTAATCTAGGTCCGCAGGATAAAGAGGCAGAATTTAATCAGAAGCCATAAAGACACAAAGAGAAAGATTAAAGACTATCCACATTGTTATTTCCTTATTTCAGAATACAGTGGGGCCTTGACTTATGAGTGTCCTGACTAACGAGTTTTTCAAGATACGAGCCGTCTCTCGGCCGATTTTTGCTTTGAGTTGGGAGCTAAAATTCGGGTTATGAGCCAGCTTCAGATATCCCACCGCTAGTTGGCGCAGTGAACGTCACAGTGAACGTCACAACATCAGTCCAGCATCACGTGTCTCACTCGTTCACTTTTTGATTTGACATACGAGTAATTTGAGTTTCGAGCTCCGTCATGGAACAAATTAAACTCGTAAGTCAAGGCCCCACTGCATTGAGCACATTTCAGTTCACTACAGACACTCAGACTCCACACCCCATACCTCTAGGAGGCCCTTGGGTAGTGGCCACATGGGTTACCCCAGCCATTCCAGACCCCGCTCTCCTAACCTATTTGAGAATCAATTATAATCATATCTCTGAAAATACAGTGTCAGGGCACTGAACTTTTTGAAAAGCTCTCACAGAGGCCTTTTCGGCCTTTCCCTCTCCTCTTGTAATCAGCGAGTATCTTACAGACATTTGGCACCTCTCTGGGGCCTGAGTACTGCTGTTATCAACCTCAAATTGCAGATTCTACTTGCCAGCTGCTGAGGCTTTTGAAAGGCTGGTAAAAGGGAGCTTTGAGAAATGAGAGGGCTACTGATAAAAGCTTATCATTTTAGAGAGTATTTTAAAATCCTCAGTTTATTATTTAATGGGCATCATTAAAAAATATCTAAAGCAAATCATTTTGAAATTAAAGGTTGCTCCCTCCTGTCATTAGCATAAATTAATTTCATGATTATTTCTAATACCGTTTGTTAAAAAGGACACCTGTAATAGTGTCAATAAATAAAAAAATTAAAAAGTCGCCTGGCCTGCATGGCTTAGTGGTTGAGTGTCGACCCAGGAACCAAGAGATCACAGTTCCATTCCAGGTCAGGGACATGCCCAGGTTATGAACTCGACCCCCAGACGGGGGGATGCAGGAGACTGCTGATCAATGATCCTCATCATTGATGTTTCTATCTCTTTCTCCCTCTCCCTTCCTCTCTTTAAAATAAATAAAAACATACTTTAAAATAATAAGTAAAATTATAAAATCGTTTGAATAGAGCAAACCATTTCCAAACACATGAACATCACTTACATCTATACATAAATGTACATTTTCATTAAAAAATGTTAACAATTAATTTGATCATGAAATTGATATGCTTTGCTGTTAAGTGTATTTTTCAGTTGCTGGGAACAAAGAAGAATAGTTTTCTGCAGTACTCAAGAGTTTGTGAAAATATTCTATTGCCTTTAAAAACGAGTAAACTTGATAAAGAGAAAACACAAACATACTTCTCAAAAAAGGAATAATACCCTTCATAACAATAATTTTATTGACAAAATGCTTTCCGGTTAACTAGCTCATATACATTATCTCATTTTGGAAACTTATCTACAAAGTTAATTGTCTTCGTCATTTTCCTTTGAGATTCAGATAGAGATGTTTTTCCTTTGATACAGGCTAATGACACCAGAGGAAAATACCATCCAGTCGTTTAATCTCTTCTTTCTACCTTTCCTAGGAATTCAAATCTTTCATGAGACCCTCTTTATCCAGTATCTTCCATCTCTTTCTGCATTACAGTTTTCTTTCCTTTAAGACCACAAAAAGGTTCATGTGCCTGTTAGCATAAAGGCAGGGAAAAACCACTTGAAAACCTTTATTCCTTCATCTACCTCTGACTACTGCTTATTGTTGTTCTTCCATTTAAAGGTAGATTTCCTTTAAGAATGTCTATGGTGTACATGTCCAATGGCTCAAATTTCATTTACCCCTAAATCCAGTGTTGGCTCTTTGCCAGAATTCCACAGACTGTCATAATGAAATTTCTACTAATGACCACAGTTTAAAAATAACATGTTGATGTGAACCACCCATTCAACTGTAGCACCTATGACTATTGAACCCATCTTCCTTCCTAAAACTGTATTTCCTTGGCTTCTGGGAAACCAGTCTCCTATAGTTACTTCTCTTTTATCCCTGGGGCCATCCTACAGAAAATGAAGAAACTTCCTCTTATTGATTTAGTTCTTTAAGGAAAGTTGGTGTTTCACAGGACTTAAGTCTTTTTCTCTTTTCATGATTACATACTGCCTCTACATGACATCACGCACACATGCAGCTCATACGCCGAGTTCTCTCTCTTGACATCCAGCTCTGTTTTCACCAGTTTACTGAGCCACATTAACCATGGTGCTCAATGGAATTTCAAAATCAATACATCCAAATCTTAAAAACAGTATCTCCCAATGAAAATAAATTAAATCTCAATAATTAGGACCGTCAGGTTGCTAAAATCAGAAACCTGACTTTTTACTTATCCTCAAAATTCCATGTTTTATAAAGTCTCCAGAGCCTACAGACTCTCATTTTTTAAGATTCTTTATTCTTCCCTTCAAGGTTCATCTTTATGGCAGTCAGAGGCCCTTTATCTTTCCTGTCACCTAAATAACTGCAATAGCCCACTAATTAGTCTCCACACAATTACATTTCTAAAGGGCAAATATGCAGCTAGGCTAGAGAGAAAGAGCATGAGAGATGAGCACATTTCTTTGACACATGCCTAAAGTCCATAAACTTTGAAAACTGGTGTATGTATTCAGCCTCATGGCCTCCCCAATACTGATGCATGATATTCCTGTCATTTTCCAATTCATAAAATATACAAAGAAGAGAAAAAACAATTGGTATGGTACCCAGATCTAGACAATCCTGTCCGGCCTGCTTACTCTTTGGAGGAAAATACTTGTAGCAGGCAAGTGTCCAGAATTCTATAAAGTGGCTCTTTAAATTAGAGCATCATCCTTTGCATCATTTGAATAACATTAGCAATAGAGTGAGTCCAACCAATTGAAATGGCTATTGTGACTAATTTCTCATGGCTAAGGATTTAATTGAGCATCAACTAGGCCCTAGTTTGCATGCTGCAGATGTGAAAAAGACAGAAATGCACCTGCCAATGATGCTCAAGCTACTGGGGGAAACAAGAAAGAAAATAAATGGTATGGAAAATTACTATGAGAGAGGACAGAGGACCAACAACCACCCCAGCTCAGGAATGGACAAAGGTTCACAGAGCCAGGGTGACAGTGTCAGAAGCTTGAATAACAAGCAGCAGTTGGCCAGCAATAAAAAGTGTTATCAGAGGCTCCATGATATATAGGAAGAAAGAGCGGTCCACAGAGAATTTACCAGCTAACTCTAGGTCTCATGGTTCATAAGAAGACAAAGGCAGGATTGGAGCAGGTTCTCTGATACTAAATCTCATGCTATTTCTAGAAGAAAAATAAAAGAGGAAATAAAGTAATTCAATTCTAGATACATGAGTACCAGGTTATGTTTCCTTTGCTCTAAAACTCTCCAGATTTTTGTATAACTTGATTTGAAGCTCAGAGAAGGAATCAAATGCCATTTTGGCAGGACTGGATGAATTTAGGTCAATCCTAGCACTATGACAACCAAGCTTCTGTTACTGCCCTTCTCCACATTTACAGAACCTATTCTTTATTTTGCTGAAGATATGACAGAAGGAGAGAACCGTTCACATTGTAATAATTATGGTGGTAATAATAATACCAGCTAAACTTAATGAGTACTCACAATGTATTATGCACTTTACATATGTTAACTTATTACTCAACGATAATCTTATAGGTAGGTTATTCTTACTAACTCCATATTATAGATGATGAACCTAGGGCAAGAAAAAATTCAGCAACATGCCAAAGGTCACACAACTAGTAAGAAGTGTGCTACAATTCAAGCCCAGCAATCTCATTACTATAAGTAGGATTTGTGTTTTGGTAGATTACTCATACCAAATGACTATTGAAAGTTGATGACATAGTTTGTTTACATGCTGATCAATATAACCTTCTGGTTTCTACGTTTACGGTGTTAAAAATAAGAACACATTTTAATATACCATCAAGGAAGAATCCAATGGGAAATAATTTTATTCATGTTATATGAAGTTGCCTTTCAATTAATAAAAGTGGTCTATACTATACATTAATGTGAAGTTAAAGTGTTTGGGGGGAGAAATTGAAATAATATTATAAGAAATAAGGTTCTCATGTCAATCACATACATGAACTATGTAAAAAACAAAAAATATAAGAAAGCAAACATTTG